GTTAAGGTTAATATTTAATTTTAAATATTAAAATTAAATTAATTTCCTATCTTCTACATATTACTTCAAATAAACGGGATAAAATTGTGTCTGTTATCATACCCTCGCCGGGAATCGAACCCGGGTCCCCTAAACACTAACCTCTTCAATATATACATAAATGTTCTTGAATAGGTTAGTATTTAATATTAAACATTAAACGGAAATTAACTTTCTATCCTCTACATATTACCCCATATTAAGGGGGAAAAATTGTGGTATAGTACTGGTGCGTAAAACCAGGTGACCCGGGTTCGATTCTCGGCGAGGGTATGACAGCAGAGACAATTTTTTTCCATTGATTTAAGATAATATGTAAAAGATAGAAAGTTAATTTGAGTTTAATATTAAATATTAACCATATCATTTTCGTATAAGTATATTGATAATTAACTATAAATTTTTTGAACCACTCCAATCTCAGGCCTCGAAGTGTTATGACATAGTATGTGAAAATTATTAATTTTTAATTAATTATTGAAATTGATAATTATATACAATTGGTTTCGACGATACTTGTGATATCTTTGATGTACTAGCCGTTGTTGTAGCTGCTATCACCTCTCATATTAGCGTAGTTTAGAGTACTGGTTTGTAAAAACAAGCAACCCGGGTTCGATTCCCGGCGAGAGCAACAATTTTTCCCTATTAATTTGTGATAATATATACAGGATAGAAAGTGAATTTTAATGTAATGTTTTATATTAACAGTTAATGGCATTTTTACAATTAGATTAGCATAAAATGGCATATGAGATGAGCATCAATTTATAATTCAAGAAAAGTAAACTATAAATTCGTGATGGATTTTAATGTAGCGTAAGCCGTGTTAGTTCTGTAAACTGGTGATTAACGAAAATATAACTCGATTACAATTCCGCTGGTTCAATTAGACAAATCTAATTATTACACATTTACTATAGAAATTATTTTAGTTCCCTCTTTAGCAGCATTACTTTTAAAGCGGGCAAACATCGTTTGTTTAATTAAAGTTTTGAAATTTTCCCTACCACAGAAGTGTTCGCTAAAATTGAGCATCCGAGCAGAAAATTAAAGAGAAAAGTGAAGCATTATAATTTAACGGGAAGAAGTAAGTGGATTAAAAATCTTCTTTTGATATCCGGGATTTATGAAAGGAGTATCTAGTATATTCTTTAATACGGGAAAATTTCAAATCATATGGGAAATTAAAATCTAATATTAACTCATGATATCATGCAGCACTTAGTTTGAACTTTTTTACAGTTTAAATAGAGAACTTTCAGAACACAAGATCGAATTCATCTTTTGAAAATGAAAAGACATGATACTTTTATTTATCATCATAAGGACGTCCGTCTTAAGACTGGTTGGACACGCACCTCCACTCTTTCCTATCCTAAGCTAATCTTCGCAATTTCCCTAAAACTAGAACAACCCACATCCTTAACTATTTGCGAACAGTAATCTAAGCTAGGTCTACCCCTGTCCTAGTCCTAAATACCTGAGAAGGTGTCCTTCCAAGCTATCTTGCCTATTTCTCATTGACATCAATAATGACGTCTGTTCTGTATAGGGTTTATACAAAAACCGACATTTTAGAAAACCGGTTTTCGAATAATAATTTTTCCATCAAACCGGTTTTAACCGGTTTCGAATTTTTATAAAAAAAATTTTTGATCGAATAATCTGTAATTCGAACAAAAAATGTTAACAGAAAATTTAGAGTGATTAAAAGTAGTTTTTGACTGAAATTATTTACTGAACACTGAATTTATGAACTGTACATAAAGAAATCAGAAGACAAACTGATATAAAATCTAAATTAATTCATCCAATAGACAAAACACACCAAACCGCTTGCGACCGATATGATTCCAAGAATCAAACCGCTTGCAACTGTGTTTTCATCAATCTGGTACATTTGGCTACATTTGTCATTTTCAATTCAAGTGTTATTCATACATTAAAAACTGATATTTTCTACTAAAAAACCGGTTTTCGAATTTCATAATTTTCTCCAAAAAAAACGGTTTTTAAAAACCGACAAACCCTACTTCTGTGATTTTTCTAAACCTTCTCTATTCACGGTATCCTCATCATTCGTCTGTAACACTACATTTTGAACTATTCTATCTTTCTCTTTTTCGCCGCGCCCATAGAGTGTCGAGCTCCAGACACACATATTTAAAAATCTTTTTCCATTTTATAAATTAACCGTTTGCGAGCACAGAAGTGACTTCATTTTATTGAAGGCGACTCGACCCTCCGCTATCTTGTGCTTTGTATCTCTACTGCTCCTTCCATTCTGTGTTATCTGTCTTCCTAGATACCGAAAATCTGCCACTTCTTCTAATTTTTCGTCTCCTATTTTTGTATTAGCTATTTGCCTTTTTTTTTCTTCCTTTGCATCTCATTCTACTTTTATTTATTTCACATCGATAACTCTACCTTCTCTATATACTCTACTTTCTACCTTTGAGTCAAATCCTTCGTATTTTAAATATATTTGTTAAGATTTAATATCCAACGTGTTTTTTATCCTCCACCAAGAAAAGTTGAGTGTTATTAACTAAATTCGAGTTTTGACATTCATACGCAATCTAACACTACCTGTTCAGTGAAAAAAGGGACAAGCAGCAGGGTGCTCATACGCAATACAGAAATATTTTCTACTTCTGCCTCATCGTAAAAGTAAAAGACAATGGTTTAATTTCTTAGTGCCTACCTTAAATTGCAAGCGTCAGTAAAATCAAATCTTTTCATCATACAACATAGGTATTTGATACTTAACAACAGATGCACCTAAACAAATATCTACAGCACATCGCAAAACTAATATCATGATATTTAATTACAGTGCAGTTTCATTTAATTAAAGAACCCAAATTGAACATCACCAGCTCTAAAGTAATTTAGATAAAACACCGCAAATTCCCGTGCTAATTTCCACAACAACATGAATAATTACTCACTCACATAAACACATACCTGCGTTCATGCATATGAATCAAATTATTTCCCTTGCAGTAAAATATAGAAATCTATGTATGCATATAGTATCCATAAAATTTAAAAAGAGTAATCTATTAATACTTGTGATTTCAGATATAACAAATACTGTAACATTTTCTACTAGCGCAAAAATGATAGTAAAATACTATCTATAAGAAATGACACAGGTACACCGAGTGACATGGCTTAGAGATTTAGGGTAGCGGTCTCCATTTCTTTTTGCTACAGAAACTTTTTTGAGTTACTCTTTTGGGGGAATCGCATCTAATTTCTATTGTTACTTGTAAAGATAGAATTCTCTTCCACGTTCCTCTATATCTCTTCTAAACCCAAATTGATTTTTCTCTAATAGTTCTTCCGCCTTTTTCCATCTTTCTCTGTACAATTCTATTACAAATTATAATAGTGTTATGTCTGAGATCCCTGACACTTTATGGTATCATCATCATCTTAAAATCGTCAGTCCTAAGACTGGTTGTACACGCACATCTTTCTATCCTTTGCTAATCTTCCCATTTCCTTAAAACTAGAACATCCCACATCCTTAACTATTTGCGAAAACAGTAATCTAATCTAGGTTTACCTATATCCCTCCTAACTCCCGTTTCTGGCTCTAACATGTCTCTGACTAGACCTTCATGCCTTAGATTTATTATTATATATATTGTTTCTTATCGACTTCCATAAAGTCCTCTGTTCTCCTATTCCTTCCAGTATCTTTTCATTTCTAACGATCTCTTTTCCGCACCCGTACAACGCCGCGTTCCAAACATACACCTTATCGTATATATGCTGTAACCTTCTTCTTGAATTTTGAATGCACGCATTTCAGGTGCACATTTTTACTTCTAATAGCATTAAAACTAGATTTAATGTTTTACAATAATAAATAACTCGAATATTCGAAGTGACATCCAGTCTAGTTCTGAATTTCTTCTTAGTGAAGGCGTAAACTGAATGACTTGTCTGTAATCTATAAGTCGATACAAACCGAAACGGGAACTGTGATAGCCTTCTCAACGACTGCAGGATATCATCCTTAAATTCGATCTAAAGGTCATTCAAGTCAAAATCGATCATATTCTCATATAGTCGACACAGTTAACATTGATTGATTAGCCTGATTTGCGAATGGATCCTGTATTCACAATCAATAGCTATCTCTCCTGTAACTCCTCTAGAAAATATTCTTTCAAGTATTTTTTGAGGTTCAATAGATGCTCATTTTCTTTGAGAAATCTATTCGTAACTTTCTTGTTTAGCACATTCAATCAATCCAGAAGCCCAATTTGTTTTTCATCATAGTTAAAAAAGATATTTTGCCTTTCATTTTATGCGTAGTTGTGGTTCTTCACTGTAAGGATCTACTGGAGAATACTGGTTCGATTCCAGGTTCATCTCCACTACTCGAGTTTTTTTGTAGTTTCCTTATATATCACTAATACTACATTCCGCAGATAATATTTCACTCTTTTGTGTCTACATTTCGTCCGTCCCATCTTTCTTACCCCAACCACCACCACATAGTATTGGTAACTCATGGAAAAGAAACATTCAAAAGGGTTCAGGTTAGGTTAGGTTAGGAATACTATAAATTCGATTACATATAATTAAAAGTCATACTTGAAGGTCTAGAATGTGGAGAAATTACCACCAAATGCAAAGGTAAAAATAAGATGCACTTTCTTCTTGCTGTCGCGTATAACATTGGATAAATGAGATATATCTTCTTCGGAGGCATTTAAGATTGTAATCCTTTACTAGAAAATCAGTTACCTTGCTTGTTTTGTATCTACCTGAATCCACGCTATCGTCTCGTTGATGCGGTGCACCGACGACGCGCAAGCCCAAGTTTCCTGACGATGGACCATCGCGAGAGAGCGTCGCGGCGCTCGGCGTCGTAGTCATTGGCGACGTTCGCGTCTGACTGTTCATCCCCTCATCGGTATCATTATTATTATCGGTAGCGCACGGTAATTGTGTGGTAGTCGACTCATTACCTACTGTGGAGAAGGCAGCAGCATCACGACCCCGTTCGTTCGTTCGCATTGTCTCTCTCTTGTTTGCGGTCTGCCCTCGACGATCTCCACAACTGAATTGAGAGATTTTCCGCCGGTGGTTGTTAATCCGTCAATCGGAACCGGTTTTGCGGCGATCGCGTGTCCAACGAGCGGCCACTTCAAACGACCGACTGACGAACGATCACTATCAGGTAAGAAGATTGCCGCTCATTGTTCAACGTATCTATCGGTAAAACGTAAAAGATGCGAACAACTTAAAACCTTTGTTACATTTTAACAAAAGAATGAAAGTTTTTCCGTAGATTTCCGAAACTAGAAGCAATTCTCCTCAAATTCCCGCTTTTGATTGATTTATTTATCATAAAAGTCAAGGCTATTTTTGGCGAAGTTAATTAAAGAATTAATTGATTATTTTATGATTACCTAGATTAGCTCATATTTATTTATACAACTGTTCCCCAAGGCATATTAAATGTATTAAATCAATTTTGGTTTTTCGACCAATAAAAATATTTTCCTTTGGATTTTTCAGTTCGAATTAAAGTCATTGGAATGGTATCTCCGAAAAATAAGCAGATGTCAGTCATTTTCGGCTGAAAAAATAAAGAGATATCAATGACTTTCTATTCGAACTAAAAAATCCCAACAAAACTTGCTACTAGTCGAAAAATCAAAATTTGCTTAATACAATTAATTAGAATAGTTGCAAGCTATCATTAGGAAAAAATAATTATGATGAAGCACTTGGAGTTAAGAATCCAAAAACCTAAAAGTAATACTTCCTGGAAGGTAAAAAATATGCTCTGAAATTAGACACAACTTTTTGTGACTTTCTGGAAAGTTTGGAAAAAATGTTTTTTTTTATAAAAGACATACTTTTTTTACCTACTGTAAAGACTTCTTGTAATAATTTTTCTAGAACTGAACCAAGCAATGAGCAAAAGGTGAGTGACAAAATGGTTATAAGAATTTAATCTTTAAAAGTGTATGGTTCAAAGTACTCAAATTTAGCCATATGAATTTAAACCGTACAGTTAAAATAAACCATTAAAACATTTTTTTAAAAAAATAAAATACATACCTTTTTATATTAATAACGAAAATGAGTTACAATTTTTAATGACTGGTCATTCGAAGGGTTAACAGTTCAGTAATACGTAGTAAATACAAAAAACATCTTTCTTTAAAATATCTCTTAGGTTTTTCAACATTTTGATGATTTGGATGATGGCGAAGACGTTGAATAAACAGCAACTAGTTTTCTTTTATTTAGGTAGTTTGTTTTTTTCATTATTTTGCAACTTTGGTACAAAATTTTGGTATATCTAGAGTACTACAGACTGTACGAATTTTATTTGTTTGTTTTTAAAAGAGAGGGATAAATATACAGGGTCAAAAGATTAGTATGCTTAGAATTGCAGATGATATAGCAGTATTAGCATCTAGCAAGAAGGAGTTAGAGGTAGATTTAAATAAAATGGAAGCGTTACTGATAAAACAGTATTGTATGAAAATAAATAAAAGTAAAACAAAAATACTGGTATACAAGGGAAGAAAAAGTAGAGAAAGAGCGAATATAATGATACGAGACGATAAATTGGAAGAAGTGGTTGATTTTAGGTATCTAGGAAGTCAGATAAGTCAGGACGGAAGGAGTAGTAGGATATAAAGCAGAGGATAACGCAGGGTCGAGTCACCTTCAATGAAAAGAAGGCACTTCTATGTTCGCGAACGGTTCATTTAGAAATTATTAAAGGTATATGTTAGAGAGCGGCACTGTACGGGTGCGAAACGTTAGACGTGTTTGAAATATGGTGTGTGGTGTAGCCGAATGATGAGGATACTATGGATAGAGAAGGTTAGAAATGAAAAGGTGTTAGAAAGAATAGGAGAACAAAAGACTCTGTGGAAGTTAATAAGAAAATGACGAGATAGCTTGGTAGGACACCTTCTGAGGCATGAAGGACTAGTTAGCCAATATTAGAGGCAGAAACAGGAGTTAAGTGGAGCAGGGGTAGACCTGGGTTAGGTTACTGTTCGCAAATAGTTAAGGGTGTCGGTTGTTCTGGTTTTGGGAAAATGCGAAGGTTAGATCAGGATAGAAAAGAGTGGAGTCTTAGGACTGACGACCTTATGATGATGATGTTTTTAAGAGTAAAAGACGTACTAAGCGTGCTCTATACAATTAACAAATCGAATTAAAGGCCCAAGATCTCTTATCCCCTGTATAGTCTCCAGCTTTCTATTTTATACTCCGTGGTCCATGTTCTAACAGTTTTTCAGATAATTGGCGGAGACAAACAAACAGACAGATCTTGCAAGGGTTCCGTTTTTTCCTCCAGACGCCTCGATGGAATTGCCGAGTTAAATGCGTTGTCGTCATTTTCAAAAGCGACAGATGGTTCTATTCGAGAACGAAGGGTTTGGGTCCTGTTACGGTACGAACTTACTCTTTTTGCTACTTAATCCACTTATAAAGCATACAGAAGGGACGACCCTTTTAATGAAATTAACATGAATGGAGACGGAGAGACTACCTTGCGACAGACACATCCACGCTGATGTGCCCCGCACAGACCGGCGTAATCTGTCGCGTTTGACGTTGAAATCCATTTTGCACCAGTCGTTTCACTATTCTACTTTCATCTTTTTAAATATCAAAGAAATAACTTTCACGCAGCGGAAAGGATACTCTTTAGACCTAGCGTAAAACGATTCGTTTTAAATAAGTGTTCATCTGTCATGCACAATTACATTCTATCCGTCCTTTTACCCTGATGATAAGTACCCTAATTATTTGTATAAGTACCTTTTTTTAGAAAATACCACAAATGGCGCGGTAAACGCCATTGGTAGTACTATGCTACATTTTAGGATTATGTATGTTCTAACAAGGTCCATTTAAATATATGGATATCTACTTGCTGAAACGAATCCCGGCGTAGCTAACCTCAACGTGATAGGCACGTTACCAAAATCGAATGAAATAATTCGAAGTGGTCTGTATTCTGTCGAAAAACTGCCAGATGCGGATCGCGATTTCCATCTCATCAGCGCATCGCAGACGTACTACAGATGGCGTTTACCGCGTCATTTGTGGTATTTTCCAAAACACGCTGTTAAGACAGCAGGTAAAAGTTGATCTGTGTTCTGTCGGTGCTGTCTGCGACACGCTGATGACCACTTCGAATTATTTTTATTTTATACCTTTTTTTAGTAAATTTGAATCTTGTTGTGCTCTTATCTACATGCGTTTGAAAGGATAATCTACTGGGAAAATCTCCTATAATGCCAGTTTATTAAGTACTTGTTAAAGGTTTTCTTCTTTCTCTAAAAAAAAATATTCAATTCTACTGTATTCCAACCTGCGTAAACGTTACGCGGATTTTATTTCTAACATAAGACAGATTTCTGTTTTTAACTTTTTAGTCTAAGTTTGTCGATCGGGTGCTTCNTGCACTTATCTACATGCGTTTGAAAGGATAATCTACTGGGCAAATCGGCGATAATGCCAATTTATTAAGTACTTGTTAAAGGTTTTCTTCTTTCTCAAAAAAAAAAAAATATTCAATTCTACTGTATTCCAACCTGCGTAAACGTTACGCGGATTTTATTTCTAACATAAGACAGATTTCCGTTTTTAACTTTTTAGTCTAAGTTTGTCGATCGGGTGCTTCTGAAATATGAAGCAAATTTGCAGGGGGCGACAGGGCGTTATAAAATAAGAGATTTCAGCAAATGTTTACAGGTCCGAAAGTTCTCTGTTTTTGAGAAGAAGTACTTGAAAGTACAGGCAAATGTAATTCCGGCCTTGGAGAGAAATGCGACAATGCAACGCCGTATTCAATCAGCTGGTAACGAGCAGCATCATTGTTGTATTTCTTTTGCATTTGTTTTTGCTCATGTTTTGTTTATATTTTTTTTATTAAATTAAGAGTGATTCAAGGTGTTGATGTTACAGCCAACTACAGTCTGTAGTTATTTGTTCTTTTATCGTTTTCATCTTGATGTATTTGGAGATTTGGGACTACAATCTATTTCTTAACATTTCTTATTTTCAGAACTTTCCAATTTTATTACTACCTTATTGGTCCCCTACTTTCATCCACCAACTATTAGTTCCTCCTTCACAATATTTCTGAAGACTGCTTTTTCATAACTTAGTCATTCTCATTTAGCNTTTATTAAGTACTTGTTAAAGGTTTTCTTCTTTCTCTAAAAAAAAATATTCAATTCTACTGTATTCCAACCTGCGTAAACGTTACGCGGATTTTATTTCTAACATAAGACAGATTTCTGTTTTTAACTTTTTAGTCTAAGTTTGTCGATCGGGTGCTTCTGAAATATGAAGCAACTTTGCAGGGGGCGACAGGGTGCTATAAAATAAGAAATTTAAGCAAATGTCTACAGGTTCGAAAGTTCGCCGTTTTTGAGAAGAAGTAGTTGAACGTACAGGCAAATCTAATTCCGGCCCTGGAGAGAAATGCGATAATGCAACACCGTATTCAATCAGAGGGTAACGAGCAGCATCAAAGTTGTATTTCTTTTATATTTTGATGCTCAATTTTGTTTATTTTCTGTTAATTGATCAAATTAAGAGTGCTTCAAGGTGTTTCTGTTACAGCCAACTGAAGTTTGTAGTTATTTGTTATTTTAACGTTGTAATCTTGATGTATTTGGAGATTTGGGACTACAATCCATTTCTTAAAATTTCTTATTTTCAGAACTTTCCAATTTTATTACTACCTTATTGGTCCCCTACTTTCATCCACCAACTGTTAGTTCCTCCTTCACAATATTTCTGAAGACTGCTTTTTCATAACTTAGTCGTTCTCATTTAGCCTTCCNTTTTAATAAGAGATCATTTCGCTTTTGATTTCTCTCTTTTAATTTCCGACAGGTTGAATTACCTAGTCAGAACTTCCACGATAAATTCCTCATTAACGTTAAACGAACTATACAAGGCATTCTGCCTTACGACACGGATGACAATTTCACATAATTCCAGACTCTCATTCTCAACGATTTCAGGAGCTCTGTCATTGCTCACTGGTACTTATTTATGTCCTCCGTAACACGCAATTTCCCTCTACCAGGATCAGGTTTGCGCTTCTCCGATGGATGGTTAGCGCGCTCGTGTCTCGTATTCGTACAACAAAGGCATTTTCGAGAAAAGTGTGCGGTATACGAG